TGTCATTGGGGTCTATTTTCAGCGATTCCATCAAATCTGTACGGAGCGTTCCATACTATTTCAATTGGCTTTTTTTCGATTTCAATGAAAATTGTATATGATGTAGAAGTGTTCCAAACATGCCTTGAAATGTTATTGAAAAAAAAAATATATTTTTTTAAAGTTATGCGAAATCAAACCTAGACCAGGTAGGTAATATTTTTTAAAATTATAACTCGATAAATATCAATTTTATCAAAGAAATGCAAAAGAACTTTTTTATTCAAAACATGTGGAATTTTCGGGGAAAAAAATCCAGACTCGAAAAAGTTAAATTTACAATGAATTAATCAATAAACAAATTAAAAAGTTAACAACAAATCATAAGGGCATGTTGCGAAAAATTCGACGAAAAATGTCGGTACAATTGGCGTTCTCTAATCTTCAGTAGTTCCCGAAATATTGAGTTTTTTATGAGACTCGGCTGACTACAGCGGAGCTATCAGCGTTCTGCGATGAGTGGACTTGGTACCATCACCGATGCCTAGTGTAGGCTGTCAGTGTCTGGGGAATAAATATATTGCAATCGATTATCTACGATTGAATTCAATTGTGAGTCAAATTCAAATTATAACACATTGTTTTAAAAATATAAAATAAATTAATTTATTAGCAAATTCTGGGGGAACATTTACAAATATACATGCATCAGACCTGGCTATTTCACTATTGACTTGATACTACACGACGTTGTGAATCTGAAATTCATCGTCAAAAGAAAAAGTTATACACTGAAGACTATGGGTATTTGTAATCGGCACATAAAAATGAAATTGACGGGTTCCGGTGATGGTTGAAGCATTGGAGAATCGAATTTTCAAAGCCTCTTCTTCTATTTTATGTTCTTCATTTGTATAAAAGATGCTTTCTATTGACTTCATTGAGTCTTTGGTGAATTCATAAGTCTTGTGGTGTTTTAATTTGATTTTCATAACGTCGTTGTCAACTCGCTCGAGCTGCATGCATGGAGTAAATTGACACCATATTCAATTTTTCTTGAAGTCTGAAAAAAAAGTCTTTCGATTTGATCGAAGTAGTATGGAACGCCCCGTATATGAAATATTGCCCCAAAAAATTTTCGAAGTTCTGCTTGTTTTTCATCTGAAATTCGATTCCATTTAGGAGGCACTCTCAGCTACAACTTTGAAAAATATACCCCCCAACAATATCTTCATATATATATAGGGGACGAAGCCCCCCCCCCGGGTTGGTGAGCGGAGTGAGCAGGGGGCGGAGCTGTAGATGGTAGTTAGCAAGGACATATTAACATTAATAAATTCTGAAAGCAGAGAGTGATTGTAAATCATTTGGTAAACAATGGTACACCAATACCATAGGCCGTCGATTAAATTCGAATGTACGTAATTAATAAATTTTTTAATATATTTTCTTTTTGAGACTCTCCACGAACTACGTCCTCGTCGTGAGTCCTGGGTTACGCCAAGAGTTGGTGAGGATTGAACTCTTCACCAGGAATCTGTTGGTTCCTTCAAGAACTTGGTTACCTCATTGAAAGAAAAGAATTTTAATTCTTCCAAAAATGAAGGTATTGCCATATGAAATTAATTTCATTTATTGTTGTAAGAAGCTACGACGGAGTTGAAGAAGGAATACCTTGTATCCATTAAATTTACTTAAAAAAACCTAATGGATACAATAAGAAAGGACCACAGCAATACTCCACTCATGAACCCATAACTTATACGTTTTGCATCAAAAGAGTACACAGTACCTTTGAAGATATTCGAATTCTAATGTTATACCAATCATTACCAAATCATTTTAAAGATGGCTTTGAATACTAGGCGTAAAATAAATGAATTGGCCAGGCTAACTGTGACTTACCATGCGGAGCCCCCTACTTTTAAATAAAAAAATTTCTTTTGACATTTCCCCTTAAAACCGCACCTAGTCAAAATAGCTTAATATTGATAAGTGTAAAAGAAATCCTTGGAAAATCTGAAATTAAAATCATTCAGAGATGATTCGTATCATTCGAGTCATCACAACCCCGATGGCGTGATCATTTACGAATAGCCGTACGGAATATCGAACTTAGTCAGTAACAGGCGATCTCACCAGTAGCTTTCTGTAACCCAACACCTTCTACTTCTACCGCCCAATAATCGCTAACGAACGCGCGCGCAACCGAACTTGCGAAGAACAGAAAATGGTGAAGGCGCGGGAGAGAGGGTATATGTGGGTTGCGAGCGACGAAAGAACGGCCAAGGCTCTGGCAAAGACCGAAATACACGTTTTCATAGTTTTGTTGTTTTTAATAACTTAAATGATCATTTTTAGGAATTTAAAGTTTTCAGTCTTCAATTTCATGTTCACTCGGTTGGAACGTCTTAATTTACCTGTGAATCGAGATCTTTTCTTCTTTCTCCTGCAGAATGTCTACACAAAGTGCAGAACGTTTTCAATTTTTGAATGAAAGAAAATAAAAACGTAACATTTTCTTGAATATTGTTTCATTTACATTGTTTATTAGAATTATGCATTTGTTATTTTGTCTTATTATAAATTTTGCCGATGCCCAATCCATTCACCTAATCTTCTCCCTACCCTCAATTACTCGCCCGTATACGCATGCGCCAAAGCTGATATGATCGCTCTGGATATAACCTCACATTGCTCTCGATACTGAATTTTGCGCGGGTGGAGGACTGTCCATCACCGACCTTCTCCCTCCTCCGCAGAATTTTTTATTTGTTATCTCATTTTTCGCGAATTTACGAAATACTGAAATAGTATCCTCTGACGTGAATAAAAAATACCCACTCATTGTTTATCGAAAACAGGTGATGGAGGTGGATTGATCGATCTGGTCCGGCGATTAGGTCGATAGTTACATAAGAATTCGTATTATGAGCTCCAGATAAAAGATGCAGGAAAACAGAATTGAATAAAGTGAAGAAATGAGATGGATCAACTTCAATTAAATTTTAGTTTTTTTTCTGGAAATCTCGGACGGGAAGGAAGATAGTGTAATTCTTGAAAAATGATGTGGCTATATCAAACCACTCATTTTTTCTACAAAATATTTGTCGTCTTGTTTAAATCTGCAGATATTCAGCAAAAGAATAAATCGCAAGTACATTTTTTTCTGGAATTTTCCATCTTTTCTCTTATTTTGGCTGAATATCTCGGAATCCATGGCGAGAGAGATAATGAAAATTTTGATTTTTAGATTTCGAGATATTCATCAAAAATTAAATCTGAAATTAATTTTCTCCTGATTTCTCAATTTTTCACCTACTTTAGTTTTTGCTGTACTTCTCAGAATCCCTTGGAGATGCCAAAAACTTCATAGGGACCTTTTTGTAACTCTCAGTTCACTCTACCGAAAAGATTTTCTCAAAAATGTTCATATCTCTCTCAGATTCGGAAGTATTCATCAAAAACTCACCCTGAACCCGAATTTCCCCATCTCGTCCCTCCACATCGCTCCGAAATTCAAAAGTGAACGCATTTAGACCAACTTTTTCAACCAGCACACATTTGGCCCGGGGTAACTCGACGCGTCGACAATGTCATCTTCTTTTTTCATGTTTCTTAACGGAGAGTGTCGATAGATCCAAATGACAATTAAATTAACTACTTCAAGCAAATGAATTCATCATCATCCTCCATCTCTCACGAATCTGTCTAATCCACAAGGGAATACATGTTACCCTCATCGACTCCAACCCAAATCAATCCTAGTTGTTTTTCACCCTAAAAATTGAAAACCAATGTTTTCTAGACGAGACGATCATCGGTGGAACTGGCTGAGGGGGGAAAGGGAATATTTCGAGTGGGACAGAGGATTGAACGGCGCTGTGCCAAAATAACTCTGTACGTATTCTAAAAGCGGTGCAGGCCACTGTGGGTAAGCGGCGTCGTCTATGGCTAGACCTTGTTGCTCTTCCTCTCAAAAAAAAAAAAAAAATTGGGAAGACAAATTAACTCGCACTTTCATCTCAATCAAAGAGAATAAAGGCCTCAACTTTAATTGCATTTTCACCATGAAACCCTCAGATTGTCTCGACGATTACGCAATTTTACACGTGTAAAATCCCACCACATTACAGGAATGGATGATTATATCCAAAATATCACAGTCGAAAAATAAATTTCTCGACTTACACCAATAAACAGCAACAAAGTCCTTGTCATTGAGTATGCGCTCGAGTTGTTTAGCGTTGACCTCCTCAATAACCGGTTCAGTATCTCTTCCCTGATGATGCTGTCCAGTTGACACTGTCTTACTCGATTGAATATTATCTTTAGCACCGCGCAATGTATCATCGCTGTGTTTATTTATTTTAGTACAATCAGCATTTTGACACGTGTAAATTAATACAACTAGAATACCAAGTAATTTAATGAGGAGGGCACTAGGCCTCGTCATCGTCGTCCGCCAGTAATGGCAGCGCAACGTCGAAACGTCGTTCGTCCTCGACATCGTCGCACTAACTGGCAAGTGCCTAAATCGCGATAGCTAGGGGGGGGGGCACATTTTATTTTTGATTCTTTTACCTACCAATTTTACACACCACGTTGTACCAGAGGGATATGGATATAAACTTATTTACTCTCTTCATCGGACCAAAGATATGGAGATTAGGTACATAAACGCCCGCGCAATCCTCATTTTTGTGAAATTTTTCAGAATTTATGTGAAATTTTTCTATTCATTTCAACAGTGTTTTTGTTCGAAATCAATAAACGCATCGTTGACGTAAAAACAAAGGTGCGTAAGTGCCAAAATACCCCTTTCTCAAAGCGAAAGGAGCGTATGTCCCATATTGGTGTTTTCTTGGTATTTCATCAAATTTTTCAACGAAAACTCATCATCAAAAAAATGTAATATATATAAGCGTAATGACCGATCTCCGACGTGCAGATACATGCATTAACCCTAGATTGGTCATCCTATGAGGGAAACCGCGCCGCGCGTCGTTTTTCTTTAATTACGATTGACTGTGTTATGTATAAAATCATTCCAATAATTTTTCATTCAAATACTTGAAATAAATTCTCTTTATTATATTTCAACGCTGGCGGTTGGGGATCGGATGAGTGAAGTTGAGGAGTTGAAGCATAAGCAAATTCTTATACTCGTTAACGAAGCCCTTGATCTTGGGCTTAACCGTGCGGTAAACCGAGTATATTGTGCACGGGGTTCTTACAGTAAAAAATCTTGTTATAAAATCACGACAATTACCCTCATCATCATAGTCGGGTGCTCGAGCATATTATACCCTAGCGGTCAATGATTGGACTCATTGAGACAACTACAAAGTTGTTCTCAACATTAGTTGAATGGTGCAGGTGGTGATACAGAACTTTAATTACGCAATAGACAGTGGCTTAATATATTGTTGTTTAGGACGAACTTTGGATTACAGCTCACATCCTCATGCAAAGGACACAAGTACTTGAACCACCTCGGAACGCTACACATTCATTATATTATGTGACGTAATTTCCTGAGGTTCACGGAACCGACGATCCACTACGTAGCCCTTCGACGCACGACTACCCTGAAACAACAAATAAGTCGAGCGCCAGGTCGTTATTACCAGAACGACCACTGGAACGAAACGAATAACCGAAACCAGAATTTCCAGAATAATTCCAAGCTTCGAAACGGTCTCCCGCTAACTCAGACCGAAGAACGGCTTGAAGGTCACTGGTGAAGCTTAGATTAAAGTGTGACTAGGTATTGACCGAATAAATAAATTTAACTCAAAATTGCGGGGGAAAATCACAATATTTAATCAGGCTTAGATGACTCGATACAATAAAAAAAACAAATTAATTTTCTTGAAAACCCCCTTTGGTTATTTCGATCGATCAACGATCATGAGGCTTTGATAGTTACTGAATCTACAATTGTCAACGGAATAAAAAATTCTGATAGAAAAATAAGGAAGTAAAATACTCAGTCAATTCAGTCAAAAGAGATCCCAATAGTTAAATTGAAAGATCTAACCATCCCAAAACAAGTCAGAAACAAATAATGTCAAAGAGGAAAATGAAAATCAGAATCAAAATATTGTCAATAATAATCATGTAGATTGAACAACACTGAACGATCGAAATCCAAGGATTCGTCCACGTGACAAGTAAAGCTGGCTGTCCGAAACAGATACGAGAACCCAAGACAACAGGTCAGCGAAACGAAGCAAGGTCACGAGACACAAAAGAAACCTACGTTCAATGTCCTTCACTGAATATTAACCGACAGCGAGAGTGTTCGTCTAACACAAATTCATTCAGACGCAACACTAACTAATTTTCCAAGTATCATTTCAAAAAGAAAATATTCATAAAATAATTGTCGCTCACAACATGAAACACGAGAGCCCGAAACTCTACGAAATAAATCAATGTCGCGAGACAACCGAAATCGAATGATCAAACACATTAATTCCAAATACGCACGAGAGAGGGACAAAAGAGACCAAATAATCAATTACTGATCAGAGTGATTAGGACTCTATCTGGCAATTATTCCGAGACTCTAAAAGTCCTACGGGACTAAGATGCACCTAACATCTGTTCAAAACTCTAAAATTGGCCAGAGTCCTACTCACGATGAATTCACACAGAAGTATCATACGAAGTTGTAGCTATCCCGCTCACCCAGCAGTCCACCTCGGTGTCTCCGGAAAACATCTCCAAAACTTCTCAAATTCGAGTCCCCGGGACCTTCCTCCAGACGAATCCACTCGGGGCTCCCTCCACAGAGTTTTTCCTTCTCCAAAACGCCTTCAGGCTCCACAACTCCGAAATTAACCCCAATAAACGATCACCAAAATCGATTGAACGATGTATGGCGGAGACCACCAAATGGGAAGTGAGGTTCGTTTCCCTAGCGGCACCACGCTGGACTGTGAAAACGCGGCAACGACGCTCATTGGCTGCTCGTTCCGTTCACTCCTCCAATCAGTTTCCAAACAACTAAAATCTGTCGCTCACATGGCCGAACCAAGTCCGTCGGCGCATGCGCAGTGACTTCTTCAACGTTATTTATTCCAAAACAACATATAAAAAATACCAAATAAATTCGTACATCCTCTAACATTCTTCCAAATCATTCTCCAGACCATTCTGTCCCCAAAAGACGATCCAACTCAACCTCCTTCTGATTTTGGTGAAATCCTCCACTCCCCCTTCCGTACTGAACCAGTCGAACTCCTATGTGACGTTTTCCCTAGAGTTGCCCGAGAGCTGGCGACCTCTGGCAATCCGAAGACCCATGAGGCTCGCATCACGAACTCGAAGTGTCCCGAAGTCTCTCGACGATTCCCGGAGACGTTGCCACCTCAGTTCCACGATGTCGGCGCCAGATTCGATTCGAACAATACAAGAGGAAATACAAAATAAAATAATTAACAAAATATACTAAACCTCTCTCGTGACTCTCGCTGTCGGTTGGTGACTTTCCATCTGGTGATTTTTAAATTAGCAACCCACACGCGAAACGGTCGAATAACGAACTACTATTTGTGACGGAAAATAACACGTCACAATTATTATTAATTAATAATATTTATTAAGGAAACGAGAAGGGGTGAGCAAAAAGGTAAATAGTCAAAACTTGCATTCTAATTCGAATCGCGCTCCTCTTGCAGATTTAATCCGGTAAAAGTTCTTACAGTTAAATACGTGTGCGTTCGCTCCGATACTAACTCCCTCTCAGTAATTAGGCTAGGTGGGTTCTGGATCAAAGCTCCTCGCCGCCACCTGGCGGCGCCACCGTCGCGGAACGTTCGAGAAGGATGACGTCATCGACTCGCGGGGGGGGGGAATCCCTCTAAGACCTGTTGGGACTTGTATGATGACATGTTGAAACTTGCATGAAATCGGATATTGGCGCCACCGTCGCGGAACGTTCGAGAAGGATGACGTCATTGATGAAGCATCGACTCGAATGGTGGGGGAATCCCTCTAAGACCTGTTGGGACTTGTATGATGACATGTTGAAACTTGCATGAAATCGGATATTGGCGCCACCGTCGCGGAACGTTCGAGAAGGATGACGTCATTGATGAAGCATCGACTCGAATGGTGGGGGAATCCCTCTAAGACCTGTTGGGACTTGTATGATGACATGTTGAAACTTGCATGAAATCGGATATTGGCGCCACAAGCTGTGGAAGGTTCGAGACGGATAACGTCATCGATAAGTTATCGACTCGCATGGTGGAGGAACCGTCCTGGTGGGACTTGAATGGAATATGATACTAGTGGCGGCGCCACCGTCATGGAATTTTCTAGGCGGATGACTCATCGACTCACATGGTGGGGGAATCCCTCTAAGACCTGTTGGGACTTGTATGAAATATAATGACTTATTGATACTTGTATGAAACGGGATATTGGTGCCACCGTCGCGGAAGGTTCAAGACGGATGTCGTCATCGATAAGTTATCGACTGGCATGGTGGAGGAACCGTCCTGGTGGGACTTGTATGGAATATGATGCTAGTGGCGGCGCCACCGTCATGGAATTGTCTAGACGGATGACTCATCGACTCGCATGGTGGGGGAATCCCTCTAAGACCTGTTGGGACTTGTATGAGATATAATGACTTGTTGAAACTTGTATGAAATGGGATATTGGCGCCACCGTCGCGGAAGGTTCGAGACGGATGTCGTCATCGATAAGTTATCGACTCGCATGATGGGGGAACCGTCCTGGCGCCCTTGTATGAAATATAATACTATGAAAACCTGTAGACACGGATAAAATTAGGTATTGCCGCCAAAATCGCAGAGATTTCGAGATGAATGACGTCACCGATGAGTCATCGACTTGCACGGTGGGGGCACTCCCCGTAAGTTCTAAACATGTGCAAATTTTTAACGATATTTGCAAACATTTTGTAAACATTAGCAAACTTTCTGCAAACATTTTGCAAACATTTGACAATATTTACAAATATTTTGCAAACATTTGACAACATTTGGAACCATTTTCAAACATTTGACAACATTTTCCAAACATTTGCAAATATTGGAAAACATTTGCAAACATTCTGCAAACATTTTGCAAACATTTGACAACATTTGCAAACATTCTGCGAACACTTTGCAAACATTTGACATTTGCAAACATTTTGCAAACATTTGACATTTGCAAACATTCTGCAAACATTTTCAAACATTGGAAAACATTTGCAAACATTCTGCCAACATTTGCAAACATTGGACAACATTTACAAACATATGCAAACACGTGCAAATATGTGAAAACAATGGTCGAATATTTTCAAGATGAATAATATCGGTGACTCACTCAGACTGATAACTGATCGATGTGCGAGGTGGGGATTTTCCATAAGTCCTGCTGAGACTTGTACATTCGAGAAGGATGACGTTCCCCCTTAGTTCTGTTGGGACTTGTACAAAATATATTGACCGGTCAAAACTTGTATGAAATTGGA